AATTTCTACACCGACTTGTAAAGAAAAACTTCACCAACCATCGGCAATCGTGAGCTTACTTGCAAAAGATGATGAACCCCTTGCTATGACCAGCATACCCGTTTTGCCGCTTGCATCGCTGGTGCCTAAACATCCTTAGTCACTCCTTTCGATGTGGGACGCGTTTTCAAAAAAATTACTGTGAAGTATATTTACGAGCAAACCCAGATGGTGGAAAAATCCAGATGGAAGGTCTTATTTTCCTATCCTTTGACAGGTATTTGGGTGATGTTGAGTGGGCAAAAGTCGATCATCTTCCAAAGCGCATGCGCAAGTTATAAATTTCATCATACCTGTGACTCTTGATTCGCCATTCAATGTCGGGCCATCGGGTGTACCTTCACCATCCTGTTGTACTCGGATTGTTGGTATTACTTTGGTAGGCTTCGAAACCGATCCACGCAGACGCAGTACCTTGCTGAGTCTTTGCACTCCTTGAGCGAATTTACTTGGTTTCTGCTTGGCTTTTTTCTGTGCTTCTTCTTCGAGGGACTCTCGAGCGAACGCGTTGAGTAACAGAGCAAGAAATAAATTAAGCACCTGGAAAAAAGAAGCACGGGTGAAAATTGGCCAATGAAGAGGATTTTTAAAAATTTTTTCTCTCTATTTCTCACCTCAATTTGTTTTGGAAGAAAGGAAAATAGAAAAGTGGAAAGTGTAAAAATAGGGGGGAAAAGCTATGTATACCATTGCTCTCTCAAGAATGGAATCTATTCAACTGATATACTCACCAAAAAGTTTCCAATGATGAGGGTGGTCAGAAAGAAAAGCGTGGCCCAGACATTGCTTACTCTCATACAATCGTACAATGGTTCTATCCATTCCCCGCACAACACACGGAATATCATCATGAACGAGTGCCAAAAATCCGTAAAGTTCCACCTGGGCATCTCTCCGTCGAAATTTTTTGCCGTGTAGTATTCCTCGAAGATTTGCATACCAACGACTGCTAGCATGTAGATTACGATTCCAAGGACTAGCGTAAGGTTTCCAAGCTGACCAACACTGCGTGCGATGGTACTCAGTAACATATTCATGGTACGCCATGACTGAGCCAACTTGAAGACACGTAACTAATAGCAACCAGGAGGGAAATATTTAAATGGTAGATGGTATTAATGATAATATATATTTAATGTTCTCTTGATTTAAACGTAAGGGTCCCCGCTTAGAATGGAGGCATTTAACCCGTGAAATAAAAAATACTAGTCAACGTGTAATAGTCAAATAGACACAAAAGAAAACAATGGAATTAGGGTCTACTAAAGTGTATTAGTTTAATATATATTTCACGGGTTTAATGACTTTTATCTAAAACATCTAGGATATTTTGCTTTAGTTGTGAGCGGCGAAGAAAGAAATAATATTCAAGGGAATTACACTTGGCATATACTTTTTCTGAGATAGCAAACAAGGTGCATGTGGTCCAGAGAGTGTACAAACATCGGTGCTTTATTGTGTGTCATTATATGCTGTTGTTTGTACCCTAGCTAGACCACAATGCACTATGTTCACTATTTCAGAAAAGCCCATGGAGTCGGAAGAGATCGAGCAAAGTACTACGACCAGCAGCTTAAAAGGTAGCAAAAAATCTCCAAAACAAAAACAAAAAACATACAGGATTATAATGGATGGGTGAGACGAATGGTTGCGCTAATGAGTAAATGGGGAACACCGCGAGTAAGAAAATAAAAAATCAAAGAAAGAAGGAAGGAAAATTTGTATTAGACAAAGTATGCAAATAATGAGATAAGATGGATAAAATGGCGACGAAAATACACTAGCAAAAATGAATTACATACCAATCTAAAGGTCCTTAAAACGCTAAGGCCTGAATCATGCTCTGTTATTAACAGTTCAGCCATTAAATCTATCACACTGATAATAACAATAAACCCATCAAAGATGTTCCATCTGCTTTTGACGTAGCCCCTGGGGCCAAACACCATTAGTTTTAATATCATCTCGAGAAAAAATACCATGGTAAACACCTGGGGAAAAAACAGGATTAGAAAATTTTCACTTTGGGCGTGATGCTATCCTAATTAAGACTACATTTCATTCCCTTTGAAATAGTCCCTTTTACAGTTCTCTGCGCCGTCTTGAAAAATAGCTGTGCAATAGATTGCAAGTCTATAATCTCCCAGCATCCCACGTGGGTGACTTTATTCGCTTTCCGTTTTTGGTGCTTGGGATACCTGTGTGATAAAAGTGGGGATTGGGAGAGTATGCTTGCTGACTCCAAGTCTCCCTCGGTTACGCCACAGGTAGCCCGAATCTACATATTTATGTATAATTATTCTTACCTTGTTGCCGATTTCCAACGCGGCTCGGAAGTCCTCATCCATCGATGGATACTCCAGTGATAAAAACAAAGTGTTGATTAAGATGCAAGCAGTAATCACAGTATCAAACACTGAATTAAGGACAACTTTTGATATACGCTTTTGCATTCTCGTCCACCGTGTTGGACGTTTCGTTCTCATTTTACTATCCTCGTGGTTATGTGACTTGCTTTTTGAGTCAGTTGGTGTCTGACATCTCGACACAAAACTGACTGATTTACTTCGTAGGTGGTTATTGGCACTGACATTATTTTCACTTCCCTCATGTGAAGATTGTTCACTAATCGCACTCAGCTTTCTAAGAAAGGAAGATTTCGGTAACCCTAAAGAGGTGTCGCTCGAACTCTCCTGAGGATTCTGGGAAATCATTTCTGAATCTGGACTCAAGCGAAGTTGTATTCCTCGACCAACAGACAAAAATGATGAAGATTTTGTGTCCAGTGATGTCCCATTAGTTCTCGATTCATTTGAGCCGTTATTATTCTCATTTAACTGGCTCATTTCTATATATGTAGTATCGTGACGTGTGGTACCGCCAGTACTTGCGTGACTGCTCTCTGCGTCACTTGCGTGACCATTACTCTGTTCTGATGGCTTGGAGCCGTTCTTAGTCCAAAAACAAGGAATGCAAAAAGACATTTTACATTTGCTGGCTAGAGATTTAGTTTTGGATTTTCCATTACGAAGAAGCTTAGGAACCACACATCCATGAAATGAATACGAAGAAGCCACGCCCTTTAGGTTATTATAATATTGTTCCTGGAAGAAATGCATAACAAATAGTAAGTAAACCAAATAAAGACCTCTTTATTTCATTTTGATTAATTGCCTTGGGTATAGAGGTTTTATACCATCACGTGACGGCAGCCATGTTGAAAGAATTCCATTTCCAAGAGCAAAAGGATTTTATTGTTCTGCCATCTAGCCACAGGCAGCCCAATCTGTATTATGGGCGTGAGCACGTGACGGTGCAAAACCGTGGTAATAATTTTCCATTCCAGACCACGTGTCATTTTCTTGAGAATAAAATTCTTTGTTTGAGTTGTATCCATATTCATGTGTCTTCTCATGTGCAACCGTTAAACAAAGAAATGTTACTCTAGAGAATGACACGTGGTCTGAAATGGGAGGTAAATGGGTCTTTGTAGAAGTTGTTACCATTTCAGACCACGTGCCACTCTCTTGAGAATGAGATTCTTTGTTTGAAATGTATCCATGTTCATGTGTCTTCTCATGCTTAACCGTTAAACAAAGAAATGATACTCTAGGGAATGACACGTGGTGTGAAATGGGAAAACATCCCACCCAAGGTAAATGTGTTTACGTAGAAGGTTACTCTGAGCCGTGATAAATACTGATTCTACTAACCTTGTCTTGTAGTGCAAGAACTTCTTGTTGGTAAGAGACGGCGACAACTGCAAGTACGAGGTTTAGAAGATAGAAAGAACCAAAGAATATGACCATTACAAAGTAGAAGACATACCAAGAACCCATGGCGGATAAAACCTGATCGAAAATAAACCAAATATCAGATCTATTTTTCTTGGGATAAAACATAGATAAATAATAATAATAACTTTAATTCTTATAAAGCCCATTACACCTGTCTCAATGGTCTTAACAAAACAAAAACAAACAAAAAAATTAAAATAAAAAATAAAAAAAAATTAAAAGAACTTGCTTGTTGTAAAGGCAGGTTTATTCGCTTTGATATCTGCTTGACTAAATCAATTTGTATTTTAAATCATCGGCCCGTAAGCTTGGTGATAAAAATAAACAATTATTGGTTGAAGAAAATCGTGTTTAATGATCTTCTTGATTATTGCTTTAATGGGCTACCTGTAATGACCGATCATTCTCCCAAACATCCCTCCTCCTCATTTACCACAGGGTTTATGAGCGCAATAGCTACTTACATAGTTATAAACATTTTCCCAGTAATCCAGTGTTATAAGTTGAAAAGCAGTTACAAGAGCCCATCCAAAGTTATCAAAGTTTGTATATCCATAATTGGGATTAATTCCCATATCTGGTAAACAAGTATAATTTGCTGGGCATTTCCTGTATAAAGAGAAAATCATCATTAGTATGGTCAGTAAGGGATATAATGGATGGATGGATGGATGGATGGATGGATGGA